TACTCGTTTGTGGGCCAGACGGACTCCGTGGGTTCAAAGCCTTGGTCGAAGTCTGTCGACGGTTACATGAGACGTATTCTGAGAGAAATAGGAGACGGACGCGCGCACGGAGAATCCAGTAAAGTTGAGTAGGCTCCTCAACTCCAAATCCGAATGATTGTTTCACAATTCCGGCTTTTGTTGCTCCTTCACGCAGCTTGTCGAAGAGAGATGGATCGGCCGTGAACGCATCGTTCACGGAGACGCGTATGAGCTGGACTGTTGGCATAGCGAATTTATGGCTTGGCGCTTTCTGAAATTTAGTCTACGCGACGAGGTTTAGCGCTTAGATGCTACTGCAAGCTCCCTTATATATTTGCCTGCTGTTGGCTTCGCTTGAGATGTTACCTTGAGCTGTCACCAGCATGATGGGAAGGAAGTATCCGTGCATGGAATACATATCATGATGGGGATGTGCGTTGAAGGAGGCAGGGTAATTTCATAGATGCACGTCTGTCAACCGTTAACTTCGTATGAAGTTCAAGTTTAATCAGTGATGAATTGATTAACCCTGTAACTGATCCGCATCAGTGCACCCTGACGAAATCTGATCGACAATGATACTGTGTAAGCGATATTCTAGGCATAAAACGATAAATCCTTAACTACGAAATAGACGTGATGATACATGTCTGTTCACCGAGATCGTTGGATTTATGCACATAACATCGTTGAACTTGGTCGTTCCACAATAAATCCACTGCAGCTTTGATGTTCACGCGTGAAGCTCAGAACATCATGCTCATACACCTTCAAAGATAATAATATATTGGCAGACATCTACAGCAGTTATGAGGAGATTCACACCATCCAAACGGTACACATATGCTGAGAACATATACAGCCCATCGCTGGTGATTCTCAAACATGACATGCTGCGGCGCATGTTGCGCAGCGGTGTTGCGGAAATCAAAGCACTGTCGAATTCCGGCGTCACGTTAAATTGATTTGTGCCTAGAAGCCATACATTGCATCCATCAGTACTTTGCTCGACGCAGATCTAAAACTAAGTTTACCTCAATAAGAATTCCACCTTACGAAGCAAGGATATTTGGTTGTCGTTAGAACTTAGAAGAGTCGACGGTCCAGGCGGAGGCATGGTAGCCCACAACTTTGCTGACGAGATGCTACCAGAACAGGTCCATAATGTTTTTAAAAATCCTCGACCTTCGTACCGTCCTTCAGCGTCAAGATTCCCTGCATGTACAATTTGAGCAACATAGGATTGAGAAAAGGAAGGAACCAATCATACGATGTCTGTCACGGATGCATTTGTGATCGCCTTTGCGAGCTCCTCGGACGGCAAGAGGACGGCAATGCGTATGACTTGAACTGTCGATGGCAGGGTGAATTAATTATGTAAAGCTTCGAGAAATGTGGTTAATGTGATGCGATTTGTTGCTAACATGCCAACATTGCGAGCTCATTATAAACTCACCTACTGTGCGCTTCAAATGTTTGGTTTCGTAATATCAATTACCGTTTTACTTTCCTTAGAATGATGGAAAGAAACGGTCGAAGCAAATGGAGATCGTCGAGGGTGACGGAGACCAGTGGAGCAAACTTATATATTTTGATCCGAGATAATATGCAAAGAAATTAAAATGATTTGACTATCCCCATCCGTCCATCGGTGGAACGCTGTAGAATCGCCTTTGACAAGACGCAAAAGCACGATGTGGATCTGTGGACTGTTGGCCATGGCTGATGCTGGAATGATACAATAGACCCTGTGATGGAGGAACCTTGCTCGTTATGGCATCAAAAACTCAGCCAAAATATTTTAGGGCAGGTCGATGACCGTTGATCAGACCCTGAGCGCTTATAAGTTGGAATGCCACTGACGAAATGCTGGTGCTGCATCAGGAAATCGAAGAGACTCTGAGAAAGCCAGATAAGGCTTTAAAATTTATTTATTTTATGAAGGACAGTAGCGAGGCCCCCAGAAGCTCCCATATATCCTTGTCCGGAAATAACGGATTTCAGTGGCCCGGGGCCAAAAAATCTTCGCGCAAAGTTAGCTGGTAAGTTGGTATAAGTGCACAAATTGACAAAAGTGTGAAATGGTCATGCCTGTTTCAGTTGTTGCAAACATTTTGACCAGAAATACCAATGATATATTCAGCCTTAAGTGCGGCAGCTAACTACTTGGTTGTAATCAGAATGAATATTCATTGGTGAAGTACTCAATATCTACATAGCAGCTGCTGCCAATCGACATGGCTTGTTGCCGCTCTATCAGCAAATTCTGTAGCAGAGCTAAAATATTTATGAGCAATTTATCAGTGAGAGTTGAAGTCTTTGCTGAAGTTGAAGACAAAATACTGGGGACTCAAAGTACAGTGCAGAGGTAATGATAGTGCTCTTATATACATATTGTGGGCAGAAATATATTGTATTGATTGTATGTGACCGAGAAGGAGACCAGTATGTGGTCCAGGATTTTTTTTCAGAATAAGTCACGCATTTGTCAGGGTCACAGCTGTGACATGTGACAGCCTTGTCCTGAATAGCGGATTTAAGGCTCAGATTATTGAGGATTTGAGGGTGATTTTGGAGGTTCTTCCCAGACAAAGATATAGGGGAGCTTCTGGGGGCCTCAGTAGCATAGGCAAATTTCACCAAGTGTGCAAGAAAGATGTGTCATGAACTTATTTATTTATCTTTTCATTGACGCGTCACTCACATGTGACCTTTACCTCTTGTCCTATGATCTTATCTTTAGCCTCTATCTTTATCGTCGCCCCTGACATAATATGCCTATTCACCTTTTATCCGGAATCCTCTTGGATCTATGCTTACCCCCTTATCACTCCACTATGACACCATCCGCAGTTCCGCAGCACTGCTGTGCATTATGCTCACCTTTTGCTATTGGCTAGATAGCTTCTACCCCGCTTCATCTTTACCCCACATCCTATCATCCAATCGGATGATACGATAACCCCTTTCACTTATTTAGCTAAGCCTGTATCTCAGATTGTATTTAAGTAGTCTTGAATCGATCAGAGACACCAGTCTTAAGCTGGTCTATCCTCCTAGCCACTTGATCACTCACTCCTAAGGGATCCCAGCCTTTTAGGTTTTCCCCTCTCCCCTATAAGCATACAAGTGACGACCTGAAGATCCCCCTTTCTCCAGGCGACAGCTAGTCGCTGACAAGATGGTAATTGCAAAGAACTGACTGAATTGTAATGACTGACAAGTTCTACCAGCAGCATCTACTATTATAAAGGACAGTAGTGTTGGTGGGATTCACCAGATATATCACAATGAGAGCAAATGACATGGTGCTGCCTACAGTACCTGCTATTATAAAGGACAGTAGACGTGACCAAAGTGATCAGATGAAGCATCCTGCCAACAGCTGAGAACTCCATACCATTGATAATAATATTTACTAATGCTTGTAGCCTTGATCAAATTATGTTACATCCCGGAAATCCAGACCGAAAAAAAAAAAACTTCGAAACTCCAAACTGGAGTTATGACTCAATTTTCCAGATATGTTTACAGACCATCTTTATGCCTATGGATTAATACTATGCCTACATACTCTCACACCCATATGCTTACTTATGCACCTAGTTCATTTCCAACTCCAGACATTAACTAGCTCCTACCTGACTATTATTTACCTGACCTGCACATTATGTTCCCCAAACTATGACTCCACCCGCAGCTACTCTTTGTAATATTCAGAGTTCTGACATCCCTGGACTCTGCCACATCCTCAAGTATATAAACCATAGCACTCCATGTACTTTCGCCAGTTTGAATATCAACTTAGACTTTCTACTTGCTCAGCCTCTCTCATCTACCTTAAATCTATTCTACCAGACCTCTTGTAAATTGAGACAAAGGAAGTCTAGAGAGGCCACAGCACATAAGCTGAAGCCGCATCGTCTCTTTGACCTTCCTATACCAAGTCTGGACCTCTGACCTCCAACACCTCCAACACTTCCAACCAGATTAGGTATAATAGGAACTTGTAGAAATATGGTTCTTAACAGTATATTTGAACTCACACTCTCAAACCTCCTCATATGACTACCCGAACTACCACTTACAGTATGACTGGTTGCAATACCAGAAACTCCAGAAATGCCGGAACAACTCCAGGCATTGCATTCGGAACACACATTCCTCCACAAACTGTCAGCGACTAGCTGTGAGAGGGGTTGCCCTCAGGTCATCACTATCAACTCAGACAAAACCAAAGTCCATTCTGGATATCTCTGAGGCTGGGATCTCAGAGGCAGGCTGAGTGGAAAGTAGCTAGGAGGATAGACCAGCTTAAGACTGGTGTCTCCAGTTGATTCAGAGCTATCTAAATACAATCTGAGATATTGTCTAAGCTAAGATAGGTAAAAGGGTAATTGTCCAATCGGAATGTAAGATCATAGATAGTACAAGGGGTTGGAATGATGATAAGATAACTAGCCAATAGTGAAAGGGGAGCATACTGCACAGCAGTACTGCGGAACTGCAGATAATATATCAATGAGTAAGCATAGATAAATAAGGAGAGTGTGATATAATAGAGGAGATCCGAAGGGATTCCATTAGATAGTAAGAAGATGATGAAGTCATGAAGGGAGATAAGATCAGATGATGGAAAGTAAAGGTCACATGGTTAGTGACACAATAAATAAAAGATTCATGACACCAACAACACCAACAACCAGCAAACCCAACTCTGACAAAACTGTCAGTGATGACCCTTGTGGTTCTTTGAATGGTATCCCCAGAGATGATGATTTTGGTGATGACAGGACAGGGAATGGTGATCCAGATGATCCTGATGACCCCAACAATGAAGGTCCAGATGACCCCATTGGTGACCCTGACGGCTCCGATCATGGATACGACTGTTGACAGTCACACCCTGTTCCTAATCAGGTGGTATCTGTTACCACGTTAAACCACCCACAAGGGTAATAAGCCGGCACAATGCTGGGGCCTGGGTGGCTCAGTGGTGAGTGCCCCTACCGGCAATGTGGAGGTCTGAGGTTTGAGTCCCAGCCTGGTCAAACTTTTCCTACATGCATTTCCTAGTCTGTCCTTGTCACATGATTCTTATCAATGACAACCCCAACAATTCCAAGCATGGAATTCAAAACAATCTGGCAAATGCAATTGTCACATTAGCTAGAAATGTTCAGCATCAAAGAGACGGCTCTCGTAGAGTCCTGAATCTGGGTTAGTGTTGCCACAGTCATGACCGATGTTTTTCAAAAGAATGAGATTAACCTGTTAAGGAAATTTGGTAAAATCGTGAGAATATTTGACAAGGTAGATGATTCCAAAAACCAAGGGGTTATTTAAAGGCATCAATCATTTGGGGGCCTTATTCTTGAGTTATTAAAGAATGACTGACACAGTGTAACCAGTCATGCTGTGTCAGTCATTCTTTAATAACTTAAGAATAACATCCCCAAATGACTGATGCTTTTAAATAACCCCTTGGTTTTTGGAATCATCTACCTTGTCAAATATTCTCATAATTTTACCAAATTTCCTTAATAGGTTAATCTCATTTTTTTTGAAAAACATCGGTCATGACTGTGGCAACACTAATCTGGGTCATTGACTGCATGATATAAATATTGAGTGGCTACCACCAGCTGCAAATGATGTAGTTAGCCAAACTACCCAACCCACAATCCTACATACTCACTCAGCTTATGACCATGCAAATATAGAAGACCTGAGTAGTGAGCTACTCTGAATCTAATGGTAACATGATTGCATATGCCAAACACTGTTGGTGAATATTTATGAGAAAAAAGAACCTAGCACGTGGCAAATGTGGCCTTGGATATTCCTGCAGAGACGTCAGGACAACAGTTGATTCTTTCTGCTTGATAATAAACTGGGGATGTTCACTTCCGCGGCTGCTGCCGGAAGGTATCCGCATCATGGACAAGAGAACCAAATGGGAACTGCAGTTGATAGGATTAATCCTACCCTAAATTTCTAGATGTGTTGGGATCAATCCGACACTGGTTCTAAATATATAGTTAAGTATCCAATCCTGTCCAATCCTATCTAATCCAATGAAAAACAACTGCACTGACAGGGAATTGAACTGACAACCTCAACATTCACAAACCATAAATGTGTCACTAACCACTAGGCTTTTGTACCATGATGTGAGAGCAAAGAGGCACCATCATAAGGGCTGTGAGATGACTATATCAGATATGACCTCTGAGCTTACAGCCTTTGGTTAAAGTGCAAATTTCAGCTTGATTTTAGGTGTTAATCAGATAC